TTAGCACAAGGGATTATCCCTTGAGTTGGGTATATGACGAAACAACGGTTCAAAATATTTTTAAGGACCATAATTGGTAGGTTCTAATGGCAATCAAAATATAGAGATTATTTTAACTTTTTTTTTTTAATTACATTTAGAATGCACCCATATTATGTCGTTTTACGACAGGCCTTGAAAGAGGAAGACTTTGATCGGAGGTTGGACTGTTGCCATTGGATGTTAGGCATATACGCGAAAATAGAGAATCTTTATTTCAAATTCCTTGGACGATGAGCCACCTTTAATAGTGGCGGGATAGTCAAAAAATAGTAAGCTTCAGCGTAATCGTCTGAAACCTGAAATACATATAAATGTTGTGATGATTCTGTACAGGGTGGCCAACTAAGAATGTGAGGTGCTGTATCTGGGAACCTATATATCTATCGTAGAGGCTTGCGGCAAAAACAGTAATTACTAAATGGCCAAGAGAAAAACCTGGAAAAATTTCAAGTTTCTGAAATGGCTGCTAGGGGGCGTAACTGCAACCTTTGAACCCTATGAAAGTGAACATATTCAAAACGGCTGAGCCTATTTTAACAAACTTGGGCTAGTTCAAAAAAGCAGTCGTTGAGCTAATGTGATAATATTATAAAAGTTTGTTACTTTCCTATGTCCGCTAGAGGGATTTTTTCACATTTCGACAGAAATGGTTAATTATCTCAAACAAATTAAATGCTTTGGTATGATTTTTTTTTTGAAAAATTAGCTAAACGATATAAACGAGCTCGCGAGAGCTGCATCTAGATATTTTGTCCCTCACCTAAAATTTAGGCTAAAGATTTTATACGGAGAATCATTAAATTTGTTATTTTTTAAACTAATTTTTCCTCTTGTAGATTGTTCCACACTCTCGACACCCTCGGGACAAAGGAGCGGTCGTATGGCCCAGTTCTGGATGTACAAAGCTCGACATGGTTAGGGTGGGAGGCCAAAGTCAGGAGGGTCTGTCGGGCAGGCACATCGCGCGACGGCATCACGGAAGAGAGCTCCGAGGAGCAAAGCCTGTTGGTGTAGCGGTAGAAAAGAGCTAGATCGCCGTCGGCCCGCCGGTGCGAAAGAGTTCCGAGACTGTCTGTTAAAGAAGAGTCATCGATCCGTCGGACCGCCCTCCTCTGGACAGCATCGAGCATGGACAATGTAGTCGGGCAGCAGCACCCCAAACGTGTGATAATACTCGAGGCTGGGCCTTATCTGGGCTTTGTATAGAGTGAGAAGGTCATGCGGAGAAAAGTACTTCTTAGCCCTAAACGAATAGCCTAGCCTTTTCCCAGCAGCTGCAGCTATTGACGAGATGTGTGCGTGCCAGATCATTCCCTTGGTGATCTGGACGCCGTCCAGCCGAAATGAATGGCTCTTTGGCAGAACTCGGCCATCCATCGAAACCGGACGAGCGCTAGGTCGCTTTGTATTTGTCAAAGTACAGTACTGTGTTTTGGAAGCATTGAACTGTACAAGATTGTTGCGTCCCCAAGCAGTGATAGCCTCTAGGTCTCTTGTCAGAGATGATGTCGACGCTTTTTCCAGCTCAACGGCAGAGATCGGCTTATCACTCTGAACTCTTGCATGTAGAGTGCTGTCAGCAGCGAACCTGTGGATTGGGTCGGTCGTGCAGGAAAGGAGGTCGTTGGTATGTAAGAGAAACAGTGCCGGAGCCCAGACCGATCCCTGGGGAACACCCGCGTTGTCGTTGTAGGATGAAGAGGAGAACCCGTCAATTACGACGGATATCTTGTGGCCAGAGATAAAGTCAGGCAACCATCTGCAAATTTTTCTGGGAGGCCATAGGATGGAAGTTTGCTTAAGAGGGCAGCGTGCCACAGCTGATCGAACGCTTTCGTGATGTCAAGAGCAACGACATGGGCTTCACCATAAGACTGGATGCGTTTACCCCACAATTGCGTGACCTAAGCTGGGAAGTCCCCTGTGGATCATTGGTGCCGAAAACCATTCTGCCTGTCGCTAATCAAGCTGTGACGATCGAGGTAGTCCAGAAGCTCGCGATTTATGCACCTGTCCATCACCTTACTTATAACAGAAACAGATCTATAGGCCTGTAGTTGTAAGGGTCGGTCTTAGATCCTTTTTTTTGGATGGGTTGCAAATGAGCAAATTTCCAGTTTTCTGGGAAGGTGCCGATTTCATAAGATATCTGTAAGAGACGCGAAAGAACTGGAGCAAGTTCCGCTGCACACTCTTCAGTACAATGGCAGGAACCGGACCAGAAGCTTTGTTGATGTCGAGCGATAGGAGTACTCGTCTTACGGTCTTATGCCTGAATGTTACCTTCGGCATAGTGTAGGGAACCCTTTGAATTGACGGCAGTTGGGCGTTGGCGGGGACGTCCATGGTGGAGTTGGCAGCAAAGATCTTTGCTAGCACTTCCTCCTTGGCCTTTGAGTCGAATACAATCGTGACACGTGGTGGAAGACTACTGTCTGCAAAGTTCTTTTCAATCTGCTTGGCCAGCGTCCAGGAAGGCCGACTACCATTGCGCTGCGACATTACCCTGTGCCTAAACGCATCGTTATATTTGTTTTTGGACTCGACGTCGGCTTGTCTGTTCTCTAGAGTGGGGTTTTGTAAGAAGGTTCTCTGTGCCTTGTTCTTCTGCTGGCGAGCAGTCTCACACGATTTTTTTAAACCAGCCGTTGGACCCTGGTTTAGGCACTTTTACTGTGTAAGGGATGTATTCCTCCATTCCGCGGTAGATAATTTCGGTTATCGAAGAACAGACAGCCGTGAAACAGACATCTCTCCAAGGAAAGATAGAGAAGAAGTCTCTGAGCCCTCCCAGTCGGCATGTCCGTAATTCCAAGTTTTGCGGCCTGTACGAGTTTCTGCTGTCACAGCGGGTTCTGACCGAAACGTAACCTCCACAACACCGTAGTCTGAGTTACCCAGGGGGGACAGGACAGCACTGCTGTAAGACACAGGATGCGTGGTCAGAAAGAGCAGCTACTGGCATGTGACGGGACGCGGGGGAAAAAAGTAGGGCTCGACACAGGCTGGGTCAGCTCTCAGTAAGAGGGAAAGCTTCGACTGTACGACGTGCTGCATCGGTTCTTGTTTGAGGGCCAACCAAAGCTAGTTACGGGCATTGAAATCACCGAGAAGAACTACCTCTGAAGCGGGGTGATTGAGGAGAGCGATAAAGGCAGCAAATAAATTTGAGCGATGTTTTGGAGTTGAGGCGAAGCCACAGAATGTCCTTCCGGTTGGATTCCAAAGACACATCTCTGGAGCAGGAAGGACTGCTGCGGACAAAAGCCACAACTCCCCCGTTCTTTCTCAGATTGGAGTGCACATCGTAGTTTGGGGAGTTAAGATGGTTGATCGGTGCAGACACTGAGATTTTTCTCTCCGCCAAGAAAAACATGGCGGGACGATTGGATTGCAGGTAGTGATGAACAGCATCAATGTTGCTGTTAATCCCGCAGATATTTGTAAAACAAATTTTATCTTCGATGTTGCTGGTATTATTGTGCGAGAGCATATTAATGAAATATTTCAACAGCCGTTTATTGATAAAGGAAGTCTGTTTCCATGGCCTTCGCGATCACCAGACTTAACTAACCTATATAACCAGAGAAGATATGAAAAACCGGGTTCGTATGCAATACGTAACATAGGTACCGAAGGCCCAAATTTAAGCTGCAGTTTTGTTTACCTATGAGAGGCTTCAGTAATGCATAGAGCGCGATGGTAAGCATTTCGAGCATGTACGGGGGCATTATAAACCATTCTTTTTAAATCTGTCCAGAAATTCCATAAAAATTAGTTAAAAAATAAAAATTTAAGGGATGATAAAACTTTCTTTGGCCTAAACCTTAGGTTATAAACAAAAGATATCGAGATTCGGTTCTCGCGACCTTGCTTAGACATCATTTAGTTACTTTTTCATAAAAGAAAATCACACCAATGCATTTATTCATTTTTTTTAGATTAATCATTTCTGTCGGAATGACGAAAAAAAGGCATCTACCGACCACATGTGAAACTAACACAACTTTAAATATCATAAAATTTGTAGCCCTAGAATAGCTGACTAGCCGAACTTGTTAAAATCGACTCAACCGTTTCGAAGATACAGAATGTTTTTTTACGGAAACCGTTGAATACCCCCACCACTTTATTTTTAGAGATACTGCAAAAATTGAATTTAGAGATCAGCTTTTTTTGTTAGGTTAGTATAGCGGGTCACAAAACATCACTTTTTTAGATTCACGATTTCAGTTACGTCCCCAGCGGCCATTTCAGGAACATGAAATATTTTCCAGGTTTGTCTAATGGCCATTTTAGTTGCCGCAAGCCTCTATGATGGACATTGATTAACAATTAAAAAACAAAGGGTTACAAAAATACATTTTAAAATACTTTTAGATCTTGTTAATGCATATTTGAAGAATATTTAGGAATACTAGTAACATTGAAATGTTTGTTTTGTCCTGGCTTGAAAAT